TAAAAAATATAATTCATTTTTAATCAAAAATTCTCACACCTTAATAAATTAATTAATTCATTTTAAATTAATATCATATTTTTATATTTATTTTTATTTAATAAAATATTTTACTTACAAATAAATATAAAATAATTTATTTATTAAGAATATTTTTTAAAAAAGCATGTTGATTACACCTGACACAACAAAAATATCTTGTATCTGACTCTAAAAATATTTTCATGTTTTTGAATGGAGGATGTATATGATATTTTCTAGACAAAAGTGCAACCTAACCCTTTATATATATATATATAGAGAGAGAGAGAGAGAGAGAGAGAGAATTTTAAATAAGGATTAAGAATGTGATATAATTTGAGAAAAGTGAAGATAACTTTAATTGTGAAAAGATTAAAGTAACATTTATTTATTACATAAAATTATTGATTATTAAATTTTTACACCCATTTGTCAGATAAGTGGTAAGATTAATTGTTAATTTGCTAACATTATTTTTTAATTTATTAATATCAGTTGTAAATTACAATATCTATTAGTAATTTATAATTAATATTAGTAAATTATAATATCTATTAGTAATTTACAATTGATGTTAACAAATTAATAAGTAAAGTTGACAAGTTAATAATTGATATTGTTTTTTATGATTAAACAACTAATATCAATTATTATATAATTAACCACCAATGGTTTTACATAACAAGTGAAGAATATTTTAATTTTTTTATAATTAAAATTATTTTTACTTTTATCTCTGAAATTGAATTAAAATTTTAAAAATTTTTAAAATTTATTAATAATTATGTCACATCAATTGTCTTTTTTTGAAATTCTCCCAAATATATATTAAGTTCAAAAACTTTTTTTTTTTTTATTAAGGTGCACTTTTGCTTTAAAAATATTCTCTCTCTCTCTCTGTTTTTTTTTGCCAACGCTTTAGAAATATTCTCACTAGCTATGATTGCCTTAAAGAAGATTGTAAACTAGCGCAGCACATAATATAATTTTTAAAAATCGATACAATTTTACATTAGTTAATAACGGTTGACATTAAATTAATTAATATTAAGTCAAAAAAAGTCTTTTAAATTGTAATAACAATTGATTATTAAAAAAGAATGCAGTTGCAGTATGAGTTTTAAAAGATTAAGTGTTATATGGTTGATATTAAAAAACTCATACTCCATCCACTAAAAAATGTAATTCATTTTTAATAAAAAAATTTTATCCCTTAATAAAGTACTTAATTATTTTTAAATTAACATCATCTTTTCATATTTATTTATTTTTACTAGCAACATATTTATTTTTATTTAATATAATGTTTCACTTAAAAGTAAATATAAAATAATTTTTTATTAAGTATATTTTTTTAAAAAAAGCACGTCAATTATATTTTGAAATAATAAAAATATCTCACATCTAACCCTAAAAATATCTTTACTTTTTTGAGTGGAGGATGCATATTATACTTTCTATTTTATATATACAAAAAAAAAACCCATGATCTGTAGTTTTTTTTTTCAAACATTTAATTGAGTTTTGTTGACAACATCATTCACTTGTTTTATTTTCCTACTTTTAATTTTCTAACACCAGTATAATTTGCTAAAACAAGTTAAAAAGTTGATTGTCGCTCCATATTTTGGTTACTAGAGTTTTTTTTTTGGTTGGTCAGGGTTACTAGAGTTCAAACCTCGAGACTATTAAACTTTTCTATTGCATAGTATGAGTGGAGAGAAGTTTTACAGCGCAGCACTAAGGACTCGAATTCTTTAAAATATATTGTGATTGGTAAGTTTTTATAAAGTTAAAAAAAAAGATAAAAAATTATATTTATAAAAAATAATAAAAAGCGAAAATACTAAAAAAGCATAATCTAAATTCACCAATCTTAATTTTAGAGGATTTAAATCCATCTGAATTTGACTTTGTTATGTAGTTGAGATTTTATGGGGTAACATAATAAGGAGGATGGATATGGCAAAGCTGTCCAAGGAACGCATCGCCACACACGCACAAGTGAAATCCAAGTGGGAAGGCTCACGGATCATTAACAATCAGCATGCATGGGATCTTCTCACGTATTGTGAGTAAGCAACGCTTTTTGCCCTCTCTCTCTCTCTGTGGGACTATGGTTGAAATTACCACTAAATCACAGTCACGCACAGGCGAGAGCAGAGGGCATGCATGGTTTCACCAATCTGCGTCGAATTCTGTGCTCCAAAAGCAGCAGAACAGGGCGAATGGATTGGTGCATCTTTTTCACTTCTTCGCTTCACGAGGTTGGCGCTGAGAATCATAAGTGGCGGCACCTTAATCGTCCTTTTTTGTGCAATTCCGCAACACGACGACGACGTAGCGCTGCAGTCAACAACGCTATCTTCCCAACCCCATTCACTGTACTCATACTACTACGAGACTAGACTCACAAATATATAGCACTCATTCAAATCTTCTGATCAGCACAAAAGTCCCATTATCTCGCATGAATATCACACACACCTATCACTGCATGCATGCTTTTATCTCAATTTCTCTGTTTCTGTCACTTTGTCTGGCATGCACCTATATTTATACAATAGGCCATTCATGGCGCGTAACTCAACCCCAACTGGATGTTTGCTTTGCGTTTTTCGTGCACTCTTATCTGACCACGCATCTTTCTCCTACTCATGCATCACATGTACAGTAGATATTGCTTTAAATTTTTCTCTGTCGTGCTGTTTGTTTATTACAGCATTGCTTCCTCTTAAGTCTTCACCCATGTAGGAGCATTTTGCATGGTCTGAAGCTTGAAGCTTTACCTGGGTATTTCTAGGTTTCTCCTACTTTTTTGTGCTTTTGGGTTGATTTGCCGTATCTTTTGCTGTTTCACTGACTCACGTTGTGGGGCTTCTGCTGCACCCTCCTTGTCTATCTTGCTTTCCTTCTTTTAAGGATGGCTTCTAATTAGCTTTTGAATTTATTTATGTTACCAAAAAGGGGGGGGGGAAAAGAAGAAGAACTATCAGCCAAATATTTAAAATCAAATCTCACGCAAAAACGCAAGTAATGTTCGGCTGCCAAGACATAGGGTTGCTTAAAACTATTTTTATTTTATTGTTTAAAATATAAAAATAAGTGCTTTTTTCATTCTTTTTTATTCTTTAGAATAATAATTTCAAAACATTTAAAAGTTATTTTTATTTTTCTGTTATCTAAAATAATATTTTATTTTTTATTCTTCAATATACTTTTTAAAAATACGTTGCCAAATAGATTTTTTTATTCTTTTATTTTGAAAAATAAAAAACTGTTCCCATAACAGGTTTCCAAACAAGCCCATAGTATCTTGTGAAATGTGAAGGCTAAATAAAGATATGAAAAAATTGAACCCTAATTCTCGTCAATTCATAGGGGTGTGATATTTATTATTATTATTATTATTATAAATTTATACTCAAACATTGTCGAGTTTCAAGTTACATGAACTCTCTTAATATTTTTTAAAACTTAACAAAATTCAGATAGGTTTTTCAAAAGATAATAATTGAAACACTTCCCTCAAAGCTTATCATCATCTGCAAGAACATTTTCACACACTGTATAAAAAATTTATGTCATTTTTATACTTTCTCCAATACACAGTCCAAATATATATATATATAATTTCCTAATTTATAAGGCATTTTTAGGCAAAAGCTCGTGTATAAGAAAAACTCATTAAATACATTTTACAATCTTGCTTTTTTAAAATAAAAATTCCATTCTTTCAATACTTCATTTATAAAAGAATACTTTTGTTCTAAATTATAATACACTTTTAAACAAAATTTCATCTATCAATAATGCTTATTAAATATGCTTTACAACCTTTTTTTTAAGATAAAAATATAAACTTATGAGAAGGATAATATTGAAAAAGTTTCATTAATGAAACTTTATTTTATTAAAGTGTTTTATATTTTGGAATGCTGAATTTTTTATAAAAGTATTGTACAATTTGAAATGGAGGGAATATTAAAGAAAGAATATAATAGAAAGGCTGATATTAAAAAAAGTATCATAAATGAATTCTTAATTTTATTAAAAATATTTTTCATTAAATTTTATAATTTTTTTTAAAAATATTTTATAACTTGATACAGGGGTAATAATATATTTGAATTTTTGAAGGCACGCACAATTCTCTTAATTCGTTTAAAAAACATGTTATATTTTTCAACTTTGTTTTGATATATTTCGATTCAGATTACATATTTTGATGATTTGATGAGATAAAGTATCGATGACATGTTTGGACTGCAAAGAGAGGGTGCCACTTGGACCTTGTTGATCCGACGTTTTGTATTTTTGGGCCAATTAGTATGAAAGTCTCTCGAGGGAAATGTCAAAAGCAGGATCAAATGTAGAGAGATAACGCTTGTTGGGTGGGATGCGCCAGCCTAGCTGTTAATCTCTCTCCTCTCTGAGCCTATCTGCCATCACTTCAATTCCCAAAAGCCTACTCCTCACCCAACAATTTACAAACCCTCGCTATCGCTTTAGTTTCTTGCCCTCTCTTTCCTTCAATGGCGTAACCTTCGTTCTCTATCTGGCACCGTCATTCCCGAGACACAACACATTATGAGCTTAGAACCAAGAGAATCACTCAGCCAAACCCCATCTGCACCATCGTTCATTCTACGGGAGGCTTGCTGGCCATTTCAGCAATTATTGTGATCTTCTCGTAAATATTCTTCAAACGAAGACGACGAAACCTATGCCTACCCCCCCTGGCCCCCTCTCTCTCTCACAGCCGCTAACCTCCATGTTTTCAGAGATGTTGTGCACCAAAAACAATACGCATGATAATCCTCCCTCCCTCCCTCTCCCTCTCTAGCAATTTCATTTGACTTTTCTCCTTTTCATCATAATAGCACTCGCGTCCAAAACCCCAGCAGGCTTACGCGGTTATTTAAGCGAGAAGGAGTGTCCATTGTTATACTTTGTATTGTGCAAGAGATCGAAAAGCGATGGATCAGGGCAGCGAGAATAATAACGGATCGAGTGGGAGCAACGGGGGAGGGGGTTCGAGGTGGAACCCTACGAAAGAGCAGATAAATATGTTGGAGAATCTGTACAAGCAAGGGATAAGGACGCCCAGTGCTGAGCAGATACAGCAAATAACTGCTCGGCTCAGGGCGTTTGGTCACATCGAAGGCAAGAATGTCTTCTATTGGTTTCAGAATCACAAAGCCAGGCAGAGACAGAAGCAGAAGCAAGAAACCATTGCTTATTTCAATCGCTTTCTTCATTCATCCCCTCACCATCCGCCACTCTTCTCTTCCCCGCTCTGCCCTAATGGTTCGCTCTCGCTATTTTCACTTCTTCCCCTCTCATTCTTCACTCTTCACCATTTTCTGCTTCACGCACGTACCTATATATTTCTCTCTCTTTTCTCTTCTCCATGCAAATACACTCCACATGTGTGTTTGTAGTTACTTGAAAGTGAAAAAGCATTGTTGGAAAACGAAAAGGTTCAAAGTTAAAATAAAAAAACCGTAGTGCCTTTCTCTTTTTCTTGGCCAATTCGTGATGAACAGATTTAGAGACTGCATTGTATATATAAATATATATATATATATATATATGTATGTATGTATGTATGTATATTTCTCAAATCCAGATGCGTTAAGTTCATGTTGTAAAAAAATATTTTTTTTAAACATATAGTGTCTGCAGCATAAATTTTAAGGTCAATAGAAATATTATCTATGGAATAATATGTTTTTTTTTTTAATTTCAGTGCTATGTGCGCCATATTATCTGCCACAAAGTGAAATGAGGTTTATTGCTCAACAACCCAAAGTGCTTCTGCCAGGAGCAGGGATTAGGAGGATGCCCATAAACTGTGAGGTGTACCAACAAATGCAAGAGACAGTAATGTCGGATGAAGGGCACTTGAGGAACAAAGAAACGCTTGCGCTTTTCCCTCTGCAGCCAACTGGCTTTCTGGAAGACAAAACTTCAGTTTCTGCTGATTCTACTCCGGCATCGGTTTCTCCGTCAGATCATCATCACATTAGTGAAGAAGATGGCCCACCACGAAACCAGCCCTTCTTTGATTTTCTTCCTTCTTCAGGCCAAGAGTTTCTGCATAGAGAGTAATCGAGGGTTAGTGCCGAAAACGTAAACTCAAATGCAACTGTTTTGAAGTGGGTTTTAATTATTTCATTGCCTGAGAGTTAATTAATCATCGCCACAGTGATATCTACAATTTGGCAGTGTTTTTGTTTTAGACAAAATATACCTGGTGTGTTCATGTCACATTCTGCGGGATGTCACTGCCACAGTCGCTCCGCTGCCATGATAACTATGCATTTTCATATATTAAAATAGTATTCTTTTTGCACCCATTGAAGGCGGAAGCAATATTGATCATAACATTTCGTGTGTAACTCTCTTTCCTTGCTGGAAAAGAACAGCGAGAAAATTAAGAAGGCACATTAGATATATATATATATATATATATATATATGGTATGGGATGTGCTCTCACGTTTACTACTATGTATTTAGAGAAGTCATATTGCGAGACCAAAATGTGATGGGAGGGTTTGCTGTCGATGACGCTGTGTCACTATATGTACACATGTTAGTATGAACTGTTAATTAAAACCTGCGTAGTATTATTTTATTATCTATTTATTTGTGGGGAATGCAGGACTAGATTATTGTTGGAATGGCGTGTCTCTTGATTATCTAACATGAAGTAACAAGAAAGGAAGAAGACTTCAGACGGGTAAAAATAAGCCATTGGATCGTTGTTATGAAACGAGGATTTCATTGACGAATTTTTCAGTAATTTTGTAAGCATTGCTTGAGCCTTAAAGTCCGTCCTAACATTATTGCACTGTTTATCCTTTAAAATGCAGTAAAGTCACAGCCTCCTGCTCCAAAAAAAAGAGTATAAAATACGCTGGCGAGGAAGTGAAAGGATGATAACCATGACAAATTGGCATTTTTTGTGGCGAAAATCTTAATTATTTTATACCCACACACTTTGGATTGATTAAATTCGAATCATATTACTCCTGTACTCCAGTCTCCGGTTTGCACTCACATGTTATAAACGGCCACATCCCGTGCAGCGGGCCCAATCCCTCTAACAGATGGGCCGCTTACTCTTGGCAGCCCACTTGTAACAAACGTGTGACAGTCTGTTTAATACCAAATCCAAAACCTTAGTGGTCCCACCGCATAAAGTCTGTGGAATTATAGAATTTGTTACAATCTACAAACGGGGGCGCACCATCTGTTATAAACGTTACTCCCTCCTATATTATACAATCTACTTCTACGTATGCCAATTAAAATCAAAGAGAGGTTGTTAAATTATAAAAATAGTCTAAAAATAAAATAACTTCTCACATCTATCCCTACTTAATTATTAGCATCAACTAACAAAAATCCAGAAAAGTTATAAATAAAAAATATTTGTGGAAGATCCAATTAGTGATCTATTTTTGTGCCATGTCAATAACTAATAGCTAATATATGGGGCAAGAGGAAGTATATTATAAATAATACTACTGTTATAAGTGCCATATGTAAACTTGCACATGATCTAAAAATAGTTTATAATTATATAAATATATAATACAATTTAATATAAATATTACATTGCTCTATCTATTACAAAATATAAAATATTTTTTAAAGTAAAATGTTAAGAAATATAAGATATTTTGGATTTTTAAAGTGTAATTAATGAGATTTAAAAAATACACCTAATTGAGGGTGTAATTAATAAAATTTTCTAAAAGACATGTCCTGTTAAATATGGGTTAACATGGAATAAGTGTATAATTTTAAAGGTAATTAATTAATTCAATGAAAAATATAATTCAATTAAAAATAATTTATAATATTGAACGGATGAAAGATAATCATATATTGATGGAGATATGCTAGCAAGGACCCAATTATATGTCAATTAGTTTAGCCAGTAAAACCAATTCTAAATAGGTCACAAGCTATGAAGAATAGGCTTCCCGCGCCCCGGAGGGTATATAGCATACACATACCAGGACGGGATCTAGAATTGAATCTAGAAGAGGGCCAAAATGCAAAACTACACTATAATGAGGCTAAAACTTTTTCTTTAACAAATAAAAAAAATAAAATCTTTTTTAAAAAACCTGGTACTCCCCCCCCCCTAAATCCGTGCCTGGTATACGCTACAGTTTTACAAATAAATCTAGTAATGATAGAGTTGGATTCTAAAAATTAGTAATTTACTCACAAAAGCATATAGAAGGATGGACTCACAAAAGCATATAGAAGGATGGTATCATTTGACGACCAAGTATTTAATAACTAAATAATATTCATGGTTGATGAAAGGGTGGCGCGGCGAGTATTATAGTTGTTGGAGTTGGCAGGCATGCAAGTACCTAATCTGTTCCTGCCCCACCCTGCTTATCTCGAGTTCTCAACTACAATTAATCAACGATGAACACTCACTGTTTTCCAAGCGAAAATGAAGGGCAGAGAACGACTTGATTGCACAAAAATGTCCCTGGCAAAAAATCCAGTTAGAAGGTTTAACATATTAATCAAACAAGGACGTGTCATTTTCGAAGAGAAGCTTTTTCCATTTGATCATGTTAATTATTACAGCACAGGGCATAAAGCGCAGCCAAATCTTCATGGCTGTCTCACGGTTGTGTTTTTTTGGATTCCGTTCTCCAGCCGCGTTATTATTACATGCAATCGCCTCCGCGTGGCCGATGCAATTATCTTAATTATCATCGCTCTCTTTTACACCATTCCTATGACTGTTATCGTGGCGTTTTTAGTTTTGATTTTCTAAGTAATTTATTTTTGCTTTTTTTGAATTCTCAAAAATCACAGCTAGAAGGCCCATGTGAGGGAGATGCTCTGGAACCATACAAATAGGCTTCTTAGCCACATCGCTCCAAGACCCGGTCGCCCCACGCCGTGTCCCCACTCTCCAAGGCCCCAACCCTTATCACACTCCACCCTCGCTCCAACCCCTATCTTTTAATCTCCAATTCACAAGTTTTCTCCAGAAAGAAAAAAAATATCAGACCCTGTTTCCCCTCCGTAATGGCATCCTTTATAAGCTAAGCTTCTGGCTTTCATTGGCTCTTCACCATCTCTCTCTGCCTCTGGGTTTCCGCGTTGTTCGTATCTTTAGCGTACAAGGTATGTGTGGCCTTTTCCTCTTTCCTCTCGTTCCAGTGAAATTTCCCTTCCCACTCGTACCCCACTCCTAGGCTTGTGTTCTGCCAATATATTCCTGTCTTTACGACGTGACTTTCATAAATGAAGAAGATTTGCCATTAATGGAAGGCGGATGCTCCTTCCTCTCTCGACTTCTCTCTCTCACCCCACTTTCCTTGAAATCCGCAGAAATTTTGATGTTCTCTCGCAAATTCTGTGACTTCTCTGCGCTGCAAATCTGGGATAGCATAATTTTCATCTAAAATATTTTGCTTTTCTAATGAATGGTGGTTTGGTTGTTGGCATGAAGATGTGAATTCTCTGGCAACCAAAGACGATGTCATTCAGTGGGATAGGTATTGGGCTGAGTGTGGTGTTTGGCTCCCTTCTTTTGGCTCTGATCGCTCAGCTTTACTATTTATTATGGCGGAAAAGGAGGACGCACGCAGAGATTGGGAATGATGAGAGCAATTATACGAAGCGAATGCTTGACGGGGCGTGCTGGAAGACCATATCTTCACTGCACACTACCACCAGAGGCCCAGAAACGAAGATTCTTGAAAGTGACGTTGAGTTGGGTACTACTACTACTCACAAGGATGTGGTATTGAAGAGCTTGGGAGAAGATAGTGTGGAGTCAGAGCTCATGAGGCTGCACAACCTCGCTGGTCCGCCCAGATTTCTCTTCACAATCAAGGAGGAGACCAAGGAGGATTTGGAGTCCGAGGATGGAAAATCCAGAAAAGGGTCTAGAACTAGGAGCTTGAGTGATCTTATGGTGGCAATTGATACTCCATTTCTCACACCTGTGGCTTCTTCACCGTTGAAATCCCCTTTGAACCCTCTTGATTCTTACAAGCACCAAGGATTCAACCCTCTCTTTGAATCATTGTCGGAACCAGAAATTAACAGATTTAGATCTTCGCCTCCGCCAAAGTTTAAGTTCCTCAGAGATGCAGAGGAGAAATTGTACCGAAGAATAATTGAAGAAGCTCACAAAAGGGCGCAGAGCAATCAGGGGTCTGTTTCGGAATCTGGGCTTAAAGAGTCTCCGAACCCAACAACGGTGATAGACGAGAGAGATGGGTCTTTCCTTAGACTCATCAAGAACAAAGAAAGGGACCAGAGGGAGGTTCAACAACATCAGGTGCTTCCGCTGGCATCTTCTCCAACAACATTCAGACCTCTGGAGAAGGAATCGATGGTCCGCTAGATTTTCCATGAGTAAAATATCAAGCCTCTGTTCATTTTTCCCCCGCTCCACATGCAGATTAATTTATCTAAATGACTTTGTACTAATTTCATGTTTTACAATTTACATAGCAGCATGATGATTTTTCTACTATGTTTTGTTTTGTGCGCCTCGGATTGATCATGATGGCAAATTGAATTAGCGCTTGTTTTGCGAACCGAGCAAAGAACTTGGTGGGGGCACTACGTTCTTGTCTAATCTTCATGTTTGCTGTGGCCTCAACCAGTTAATCATTCATGTGAATCATGGTTGTTCGCTACCAAATTTCTTTCGTTAATAGACTCAAGATTCACTTTTTTAAAAAATAAATAAATCCAAAACCATTTCATTATCCTGCTATGCATAGGCTCTGGTCCTATGTGCCTGCCTGAGTTTTTTTTTTTTTTTAATCTTAGGCGAAACGTGTCCTCATTTTTTTTTCGTGTATTTAAAATGAAATCTGAGAAATAAAGATGCTATAGTGAAAAATCAACCGAAAATTCAAAAGGTCAAATGTAAACAGGAGAGCGTCGTAGTTTTAGAAGTGGTGGAAGATTAACGTTGAATCTGCAATGAAAACGCTGAGAGCACAGTGGTGTCCAGGTAAGAATTGCTGGGAGAAGGTGTTGAAAAATTGTACCTAGACTTCTTGAAAAGAATTGCTCCTAAAAAAGAAGACATTTTTGATTTCTCTGCGCTCTTCTTCGTCTCGAAGACGCTTTTGTCTTTATCGATCCATTTCCAATTACTTTATTGCAGTAAAGTGGCCTTTCAAAATCAAACGTCCAAAAAATAGTAGATTGTGTTGCGAGAGAAGCAGCCTCCATTGGGTGCTGATTTAGGGCCTAAACTAAACTGAGCCTAAAACATCATTTAATGGGAGGCTCCATGGGATGAAAACGACAATGTTGAAAGCGGTGCGGCTAACACGATCCGGGGACGGAGACTATGAAGTGCTTACCTAAACAGGAAGAAATGTCGTTGTTGTCACGCGATTCGGCGGAAAGTTCCCCCCAACCCACAAAGTATTGATACTATGCTCTCTCGCTTTTAAAATTTAAACTTCAAGTGAAGTATACACAACCCAGCCAACGGCAGATGTAGGACCTTAAGTCAGTGAAGTATAAATTATATAAAATATAAAAATAATTTAAAAATAAAAAATTTAATATATAAAATAAATATTTACATATTTATAAGTTTTAACTGCATGACTTCATATTTTGAAATTATTAAATGATCAACTCATTGTTAATGCTATTAAACCACAGTTTTCCGTTCAATTATGCAAGTAACTTTTTACAAACTTCGTAACGGAAAAAAACTATTTTTACAGTTACTGTAGCAATAGGCAATTTCATTACTAGCTCTAATCAGTTTTTCACATTTAATCTCACATTCTCACGCCATTCACTCTGTCTCTCATCTCAGACTTTATTCTCTAGCAAAGGGTCTCTCCATCTTCTAGTCTTTTAGTCCTCTTTTAGTTTTTCTATACTTTAAAATTTCAATATCATTTTTATTAGGGTTATTTATTATTTAGTTTGACTTTAGTTTTGTAAAATATTAAAAATAAAATTAAAATTATATTCTTATAAAAGTAATCTAAATTTAAATATAATAAATTTAAAATTAAAATCTATCAGATTTAAGTGAAATATAAAAAATTCAAATATTTTTAAACTCAAATACATTATAGTTTGAATCTAAAGGGTTCAAAATTATAGAGACAATGAGAAAAAATTTTTAAAAATCCTACCTCTCCTTATAAGTTCCCCAAGTTCCCCAGGGGGTGGGACAATTGCCCACCCTCAACAATATATAGGTCCGGCGCTGAACCAAACAATCTACCATTGAGGGCCTTTTATTTTAGCAAAAATTAATTATTTAATTTTTATAGTTTTAACTTCATTATAATTCATTTTTGAATTTTGATTCCTTATAACTCAATCCCTGAAATTTTAACTCGATTGTAAATTAATTTTTAAACTTTTTTCTTATAATTTAATTCCTAGAGTCTCAACCTCTTAAATATTAATCCCTATATTTTAAAAAATAAAATTATAAACATTAAAAATATTTTAAAATTTTTAATATTTATAAATATTGAAAGAGTTCAGTAATTTAAGATATTAGTAATAAATTTTAAAATATTTTTAGTCTTTAAATTTTATTTTTAAAATAAAGGGACTAATATTTTAAAGTTTGAAATTTCAAGAACTAATTTGCAAGAGACAAAGTTCATGTGTTGATTTGCAATAAAGTTAAAATTTTAGAAACTGAATTATAATGAGTTAAAATTTAAAAATTAAATTATAATTAAATTAAAATTATATAAATTAAATGATTAATTTCTTTTTATTTTATAAGTTCAAAATTTGAATGATTAGGAACGAGATGACGTTGAATATTCTGGAATAACAACGGTTGCGTGATATGTGGAAAATTGGGAATTGAACATGGTTGTTTCTTGCAGGTGAAATCAGGCAGGCTCAGAAATGGTCCTCAAATTAGGAGCCTATTTGTCGGTCCCGCTCGATTATAACTTGTGCAGGATTTCAAACTGGTCACTTGGTTTGGATCAGAAACCAAAAAACATGAAAATTTAAGAAATGTTAGGCATTTATTGTTCTTGTTTTTATAAATCATTTCACCATCCCCTCTCCACTTGCAAGCTGGAAGATGTGGATTTAACATGTAGACGATGATCGTTGAAATGCCAGAAAGATCATCCACTGAATTAAAGCCCCCACACGGAATATTTTATTGATAGTATATATTTCTTGATGTCTTCAAGCATCCTTCTTTTCTTATTGGTTAAGCCAGGCTTTATTTTTTAACTGGGCAAGGATCGATGCTTCTTTTGGCTATTATGCGGAGTGCTGTCTAATGGTTTCGCGTCATCAAACGTATAATCGAGCAATACTCGAGATTTGATTTCAATAATTGAAGGGAAGTGAGAATATGCTATTGTTTTGAACAAGGCTGGCCAGCTCACTCTCTCTGTCTCAATCACTTTCTCTTGTTTGATTTGTGATGAAGGGTGATATTTACATTTGGTTGGCTTCAAGCGTCGTGATTTAAAATTGAGCACCGCTGAACAAGCATACAAGTATGCGAAGATGAGTGGGGAATTCTATTGATTGTGAATTCTTTGCCCGATGTTTTGATTTGGTTTCTCGCTTGTTCAGATCTTATCTTCATCAACACCAGCTTGACATTGGGCCCACCGCAGTTCAGGGGAAAATGACCTTAAAAAGAGGGCTGGGCTGTTGTTAGGACAATTAATTTTGATCAAGAAAGCTTTCGCTTTTCATTTGTCCGCTTCCTCCACTAATCCGGTGAACAAGAAAGCAATCAATTTTGTTTACTATCTTTCTCGTATCACGATTTGTGCCCCTTCACCGAATCCTGTTGGAAAATTTCCGATGGAAAATACCCAGGCCTGGTAAAAATACTTTGAATAACATTTACAGCTAAAATTTACCCCTTCTGTCTTAAATTATAAAATATTTTGAGATAAAATCAGTAATCACATATATTAATAAAACTTATTACATACATTTTATAATTTTATATTTAAAATAAAATATAAATTTTTAAAAATGCCCTTCATTTAATATTTCACTTATGAAAGAATATTAAAAAGAGAAAATATAATGAATAGTGTACTAATAGAAAATTATCATTAATAAAATTTTATTTTTATTAAAGTGTCTTTATATTTTAAAATACTGCATCAAAATTTTTTTTTTTTAATTTGAGATAGAGGGAGTGTTTCAAGTTCATATTATTTATGCTTTTTCAAAATTGCTGTTTATGCTCTCTAAAGCTATTTAATCAATTTTTCACGCGACATGAAAAAATTGTACTATTATAGATTTAAATAATATCACTCATAATTTTAATCAAAATTGGGAAAAATATTTTGTCTCATTTTTTGTCGAGTTTGGAACTTAAAGCAAAGCTTTTCCAGTTCTTCAATCACAACTCCCTTCTTCTGCTCCTCTCACATCCCATACAAGCCTTTAATTTGGGTGGCCCCTAAAAGCCCCCGAGTCATTTAAGGCAGAAGATCTCATCTGTTTGGCCCCGAGGATGAGTACCTTACTTATGATGGGCCAAGTTCATATGGAGATGGCCCAGTGGGCTTTACTTTGGATTGAGAACGATTTTTATTTAGGCCGAAAAAACCCATGACATATGATTGTTCTCAATCCTCCTAAATCAGGAAATATAGGGATTATTTAAAATTATTTTTATTTTATTATTATGAGAACTGATATTTTACAAAATATGTTTAAAAAAATAATAATAAAAACATACATTTTTTATATTTTTTCCTATTCTCTAGAATAATAATCTCATAAAACTTAAAAGATGTTTCTTTTTCCCTATTTTTCAAAACAATATTTAGTTTTTTGGTTCTTCAAAACACTTTATGGAACACATATTAGCAAATAATTTTTTTTTCTTTGAAGAACAGAAAACTGCTTTTAAAATAAGTTACCAAACAAGCTCATAGTCACATTTGGAGGGGGGGAACCAATCAATGTTCAGTACTTATTATATTGTATATAAAAAATTTGAGAACTGAAGACTTAAAAAAATTGATTTATTTGCATATTAATAGCAAAAAATCAAGACTTACAATTGAATTTTATAAATTTGCAACTAATGGTATGTTATAGATAATTCAAAGTATATTTTGTTAATTTCACAATTGATTATTTATATTTTTTTAATTTCAAGTAAAGATCATGTCTTGTTATGGAGATTTGAATAATTTGGGATTTGTAGTTGTTATTATTATTAATGTTTTTATGAGATTTATAATTATCATTTTCCCTTTTTTAAAATCGTGTGTGAATAAGGGCCCGCTCGTTTGAACTCCCTCATGTTGCTCACTTAAGATCTTTTTTTTTTTTTGGGTTAAGTTAAAAAGGAAAAAGCCTTAATGTCAGCGTATGAATGAGAAGGGCAGAAATGGGGAAGGAAGGTGATAAGAAACTGGTTTTTTTTTTTTTGGGCGGGGTGGGGCGCGGAGAATGGTGCCCACGTATATGTGGACCAACGAGGTATCTGATCTGATCTGAGCTGAGCAATGCATG